AGGGAGCGTGGTGCTCATCTAGTCGACGTCAAGTGTCAGCGCGCTGTCACCCAGCTTACGAGAGAGACTACCAGAGGCAGGCAGCCAGATGACGTGCAGGCACGCGTGACTGCCCTTCAGACACTTACATGCGGAGGCTGGGCATAGGCGCCGTTGGGAGGCTGCTGGGCCGTGGGCGGTTGCCAGTGGGCGGGAAGCTGGCCTTGGCCACCCTGGTGAGGGAACATGGTGTCGCGCGGCGGTGGTCGTGTGCGGTGCTGGCACGGCGGGGGCTCTCCCAGTGCGACGCAGCGGTTGGGTTGGCAGCAGCGCAGATAGTAAAGAGAAGGTCGGTGGTGGTGCGGGAGATCCTCTGGGGCGGGTGAGGTGTCACAAAATACTGGCAGGCGGGCCGCAACGTCGGCTGCAGGTGAGAGCGACGGGCAGTGCTGCGTGGGCGAGCCAAGCCAGTCGGGGCGGAGGGTGGAGGGGAGGGTGTAGGGCGGCGCTTCGAGACGGGCGTGCAGGCGGCGTGTAGGCGGGTGTGGTCTGCACGAGGAGCGTTGGAGAGAAGGGCAGAGTTGGGCGAGGGAGGCTGTGGAGTGAAAGGCTTCTCGAAGCGCGTGGAGGAGACGACGGGACCCAAGAGCGTGGAAGCGAAAAAGGAGATTCAGGTTGGAGCGGCCGCTATTACTACCCACCGCGTGCCCGAACTCAACCTTCTCGCCGCTTCTACTGGCATGGCGTTTTTATCCCTGCCCGCCCCATGCAGCGACGACGGCGACGGTCCGCCAAACGCGCTAAATGCCATGCGGCATCCTCACTTGCAGCGCGACGTGCAGCTGGGCAGCCCACCCATCCGCGCACACGAGCTACCGGCGAGCAGCACACGCTGAGTGCGAGCCGCCCCTACCACGCCCTGTCTGGCCTGTGTATTGCGACCGCGCCCATGACACGCCCATGACGCCGCCCATGGCCGTCAAAGCTGCCCCAACCTTGTCGGCCACCCATGTGCATGATGCTGCTGCGGGCCGGCAGCTTGCTTGAGATGTGTGACTCGCCAAGCCCTCGGGGACTCCCGTCGCGCTGTGATCTACGAGCCTTTAATTACATACACACGCCGCCGCAACAATTACTAGAAAGGCCACGGCCTCCCAGTCTGCCCTGCACGCCGCGCCCTGCCTGCACCGCGCTTGCTCCAGAGCCCGCCCGTCGCTGCTGCACTGCGCGTGCGTCTACCGTGGCACAGTCGCTAAACACTCATGGAACCACCTCGGGCTCTTGAATCGTCTACGGCCCGTCTCTGCGTCCCTCGTGTCGCTTCCTCCGCCAAGCCCATAGCTCGCGCATTCGACAGCTCACGAACCACGGTACGCGCCTGCGTCCGGTCAGCTTTGGTCCTACCCTCCGCGACTGGCCCCGGCCGCCTGCTGCAATATGCTTTTTGTACACATGCATCGTGACGCTGCCTCGTCCTCCCCAGAACTGCTTCTCCGACGTGTCCACTGCAAGTGGCCGCCTGCAGCACCTCCCGCGCACCTCCCTGCCCTAACCTCGAGTTCCCGCCTGCCGTCTGCTTCATTTGCGCACATGTCTGATAGGGCTGATCCATTCGGGGCGTCGGTCATTTTCCTCGACAAGGACGGCAGCATCCCTGTCCGACTGTTGGTGTGTAACACTTCGGCAACTACGTCTGCTTGGACAACTGTGACGTGAGTGCCCTCTGTTCGCTAGTCATGGCCCTGCCGGTGCGTCTCGGCGACTTCAGGCACTTACTCCTTCGCGGGGCAGTGTCTACGGGAGAGCCGATATCTTGCGCCGGGAGAACCGTTCGTTGAGCGCAGCTGCTGCTCTTTTTCGCCTTCACGCGCAAGCTGCTTGGTCATAGAGCCGATTCTGGCCAGTCTTGCCTGTGAAGAAACCGTCCGACATCGTCTCTCTCAGCTGCTATTGCTTCGTGTAAGACGGCCGGCATGCGACGCAGCCCACTTTCGTCCTCGAATCACGCCTCTCAATCTGACATCCACAATTTGGCAAACCGTTCATCCCTTGCGCCGGCGAAGGCTTGCGAACTGGTGCCCATGGCAAAACACTTCCTCGCGCTGCTGATTCGACGCCTCCACGATAGTCGAGACAAACCGATACAAAGAATTCGACGGCACTTGTGCCTATTCTTTGGTAGTGGCGGTGCCGCAAGTCCCGCTGGTGACGAATCTCGGACTTGTGCGGATGTAGGCACGGTGGCATGGAGAATCGCGAAACGCCCAGGGCGCTTTCAGCCTCGGCTCCTCGCCGGCCTATTTTCACCTGACTGCATATACGTGACGACGCCCACACCTGGAACAAAGAATAGTCAGCAGTAGTTCATTGCTATCCATGCTTGCCTAAGCACCTCGTCCTGTGTCTCTTGCCTCGAGATTAGGGCGGACGGCCCGCACTCTCTCAAGCTTAGTTTTCCACCGTCCAGGTCTCGGTCAAATTTAATCGACCAATCAGCACGTCCCTTGCCTAGCATTCAACTTACTTGGGCAAATCTCAGCATTCCAGCTGGCATGTGCCTTGCAGCTGCTGCTCGACGGGTAAATCCTATCGAGCACGACAAAAAACCTTGCTGCAGTCACAAGACGTGTCTACCGGTCAAAGCCGTCGTCCCGGCCACAGTGCCGTTTTCACTCATTGGCACCGTATTCAGCGGGATGACCGCTTGCAGCCAATCGCTTTTAATAATTGTTGTAATTTGATTGACTGCCACACCGTATTTCGCCCTTTCGAGTCAGTCACGAGCGCGTGATAGATGAGGCCCAATGCAGTCATTTGTCTGCGACTATATTCGTCTGAAACCATCAGTCCAAGGAGCATCATCCTTGACTTGGCCGACAATCAAGGACAGCAGCCTTGTGTTGCACATTGAAAAAGTGCCGTTGAATGCCGCTGATGACGGTTACACCAAGTGAGCGGATTGTGGGGTAGATCAACCAGGATCTGTTCTGGACGTGATCTTCAGCCGCCTCGGTCGATTCACCCAAGCAAATAGCCGCGCAACGTCCATCACCACTGCAGTGCAGACGGTAAGCGATGCTCAGTCATGGTGGTGGCCATGGAGATTGCGACGCCGCGCGTGGACGGTGGGAGCTGGCTCAATTGGAACCAGGTGTATTCGCGGCTCGGGACGAGATGTGGAATTCCCGCGTGTGTCCCGTTGATAATTAGATTAACGAAGTTTGTGTCACCGAAGCCTTCCCGCAATATGCATAGCATAGCTGGAGATTGCGGAGTCTACCCATTCGTGTCACCGTAAGCAGCGCAAAAGGGCCATGTCGCTTGTGCCGCATTTTGTGTACCGCCAATCTGCAGGTAAAACCAGATTCAGATATATCAGGCGGGAAGATATCGTCAAGCCTCCGAGACGATGCCTCGCCCGTGGCACCGTTCTAGTGTCTGACAGGCATAAAGAACGCGGGCAATGCTTCCACAGCGCGTCCGTGGCCAGTGCAAAACAAACAACCTCACCGATCTGTCAAGGTGTGCTGGTGCGATAGAGGCGTGGTCAGTCTGGTGATGGCGTTGCATCGGTGTACACGCATTCCTTTGCATCCTGACAATACTTTTGATGCGCCGCAGTACCGCATGTTGCTGATGCTCCAACAAACGAGTTTCCGTCCTTGCAGTAGTGGTGTGAGGGACGACATCCTGTCGGATAAGCGGTATCCCATCTCCGTTCTCTACCCCAGCGCTCGTCCGCCTCATCTTCGGGCAGACGACGGTGTAGGCTCGCCTTACCGAACCCGGCGGAAGGCCGAGAAGGGCAAGGCGACACGTTTTGGCTTTGCGAGATCCAGCTGTGTCACAAACGCCGGTAAATATCATCTAGAGACGCGGAAGGGGTGGATAAGCGGACGCAAGCCATTGCGGGTCGATGGATCAGCCCGAAGCGTGCTAATTCGCGGAAGAAAGAAATATCTGCAGCTCATCGGTGTGATGGACGGTGGGATTCAATAGACACAACGAGTTGCCTTATAACCACACCGCCTTTTGAAGGCATACTGAAGCTGCTCAAAGCCTCGTTGTTCAACTGGAATGCACTGTGCAATGCAAAATCGCGCCGTAGAAGGACCACAGCTCGCATTGAGATTCTGAAGGTTTGGCGTTGGAGCTGCTGGCGTCATGCTTACACCACGTCAAGCGCAGCCCAACAGCGTAAGCCGCTCAACTTTCCGCTTCTTATGAGTGCATGACGCTGAGCGATGCAGCAACTAACCGCCAGCTACTCACGGCGCCGGTAAAGATTCGCTGAAGCCTTCGTCATGAGATGCAGCTGGCCTCGATCAGACGCGTTAGGGCGTAAACCCATGCATCCCAGACGGACAACGAGTGCGCCCCGAGCCGTAGCCGTGTATAGACTAACGCAACGTGTGCAGCATGTCACTGTGCCAAAATGGATAGTGGGGAGGCCAGCTGATCGGGGCCTGGCGATTATATGAAGCGATAGCTGCACACCCTGGCAAATCCTCTGCTGCACTGTCATGGCAAGAATCTGGCATCGATGCGGTCAGCCATCTACACTGCGTCGTGATCGAAAAAGAGGGAGAGTGAGCACTGTGCACTGCCTCCCCTCGTTCGTTTAGCTAGGGAAAAGCCGCTAAGAAAGACGGCAGGCCCGCGTCTGAGCGTAGCTTTAAGAGGGGGCCAGGGTACGAGGCAGCTAGATCCGAAATGAACAAGGCCCATCATAAGACCGAGGATACTGCATTTGGCATAAGTGCTCCCGTGACCTACTAGCGCTGCATGTTGATCCCAGTTATCCGCTCGTGCTGGAGCTAATGCTGCACGATGACTTAGTCTGTTGCATGGCATCGGTTGTGTCAACCAGTCAGCGCCACCGTGGCAGGGTTACACCAGCGTCTATTGGCGGTCTTTGCGCTTGCGTGGCCCACTCCTCCACGCTCCCACCAATGTGTGCATCTAAATGACTTCGGCTCGAAGCACCGTGCCTCGAACATGCGTTGTTGAAATTGCTCTCATCAAGCCTCGTCATCCTCTGCGGCGTTGCTGTCATCGTCGGGCTCGGCATCGCTTCCTTCGTCCTCGCTCGAGTCTGACGTGTCGTCGTCGGGCATCGCGATGCTGTTCAGATACGTGATCTGCCACGGTTGTTAGCGGCCTTGTGTGCAACGCCTCCCGGGAGATTGCTGTGGTCGTCCTTCACACCTGAAGGATTTTACGATGGGCGGGTGACTGCATTGCCAACGCACTACTGGCCGGCACTATAGTCACCCCATCGCTTGCACCGTACAGGCACTTCCCTAACAAGTTGCCGCCGCTCTTATCTTGTCTTGTCCAATGGGAACGTGAGGCCGTTAATGTCAAGAGTATGGAAGGATAGACTTACAAAGGGTACCATACTGGCAATGAGTTCACCCACTCGCTCCAAGCCCCCAGAACCAACAATTTCATCGTCTGCGAGCTTCCGCCCCATGGTGTAGTTGCGGAGCCGCATGAGTTCGACATCTTTGTGGTCATGGTCATATCCCTGGAGAGGTGTCAGCAAACATGAACAGCTGCAGTGAGTTTGAAGTTTGAAGTTTGTTCATCATAATCCCCGCGACTGGGCTTTTGCAGACTGCTGCGAGCAGAGAACCCCGCCTACTCAAAGGGTGCTAGCCATGACTACTCCAACTCAGCTCAACTTGTTGAGTGCGGGGCGACTTGAAACTCTATTTGCGGGACGGCACACAGTTGTAACGCACAACCTTCCAGTACGAGACTGAAGCTGATTGTACGTCATCGTGATCGTGTGCCGTTTGCGAGATGGTGTAGCGGAAGATTTTCATGGAGATACATCCTTGTAGGCGGGGAGCTTCCGTGCTAGTTTTGGTGTTGAACCGTGTCAGGCGGCGGACAGTACCCGATCGCGGCAAAGCCGATACCAGACCTTGCAAAAATCGACTCTGCTTGTGAGAAGACGTCGTGACCATGGTGTTTCACAAGCATATTTCATGCTTGATGACACGAGATCTGTCTGCTGATACCCTGCTGTCTCAAGGGATGGATTAAACAGATGCTGCATACCTTTGGGTTGCGTTTCAGAGCATTCGACTGATTCATCGACAAGCTCGTGAAAGCCTTCACAGCCTTCTTCTCGTCATCTTTGACTCCACCCAGGAAAGCTTCTCGAATACCAGAGTCCGTTAGTACGGCCTTGATCTTGTGCGGTTTGCGATCAATGTCGCGTCGTAGTTTGGCCAGAGTCGACGCGTCAGGCTGCCAGAAGCCACCACCTTTCAAAGTCAGCGCATTCTCGTGTAAGAAAGGATATCGATGAGCCATTGACGCGCCGCTGACTATGGTGCCTCTTGCATAGGCAGAATGGATACACACTGACGTGCATCAGATGAATGTACCATCCCGACGACACCTCGCTGCACGCTGCCAAACCCTCAAACGGTTCGATACGTTACCTCCCGGATACCGCGCGGTACAACCGAGAAGACAATATGTTACTCTACGCTGTCCGACGAGACATAGGCACATGGGTCCAATTGTGTGGCATAGTGACCGTCAATATTCCCCGCATGGCCATAACGTGCAGCGCTGGTCGGATCGGTCAATCTCACCGCATGGCGATGCATTGTCGTCTCCGAGCCGGCAGTCGTATAATGCGACACATGGTCAGGAGTGCAAGGTCGACCACACGACAAGAGTCGCTGTGGAGCCGAGGCTCGCAGCAGCTGTCGTGGTGACGAGCATTGGGTACACTTGCATACCCTATGCACATGGAGTCGAAAGAAGCAATGCGGTGGCCACGAGGTCACTTCGCACTGCGCTTGAGTTCCACAACAGCTCGCGGCTCGGGTGTCTCCGCGAAGACGAAGAGAGGAGAATCGAACATACCTACGAAGCTACCACCATTGGGTTGCACCTGGATGTAGTAGTGTGCGTAGGGTCCCTTGCGTCCCTGCACGTCGTATACAATGTCAGTGTGGGGCTCACATAAGCTTGTACGCATGTGTGACTTACAGTTCTTGACCAGGCCGCAGAAAAGTAAGTCTAGATCAGGTCAGCCTGCTTTGCATATAGCCGTGAAAGGGCATCATGCTGAAGCTATTCGTCGGGTCGCAGAGTATATGCCATAGCGCCATGATGATTTGGCAGCATGCTGTGTCTCTCGACTTCGTGACACGGCTTCAAGGGCATGACCCCACCCTAGCGTGGAAGTTCGATGTATCCACTCACCTTGTACGGGGTTGGGTCTTTCGAGAACCGAATATCTTTCTACTGTGAGCATAATCCAGCTGAGACCATACTTCGGGCTCACCTCTGTAAATCCGGTAGATCTACACTTTTTAGTAAATCGTACTGCAACAGTCCAGTCGGAAACACTTACTACATCTTTGACAGGCAACTCTGGGATGGTCTCATCTGCCTCGATGATCTTCTCGGATACCTTCTCCGCAAAAGTGGTAAAATCTTGGAATGAAACTCTAAAGTCAGGGTCATGGACTACGATATAGACGTCAGCTAGCGATCCGATCGTGCCGTTTGACATGAAACGTAATAAGCCATCACTCACGCTTCAACCATTGGCGGTCGTTGTTAGCCGTCAAGTCCTTAAGGAACAGCATAGTATTTGGGTGGATTGTGTGATCCAAGTACGGCGTGTCGCCTGCATCTCGAGCCTTTGGTTTCTTGATGATCAGCTGCGTTCCTGGTGCGAGCTTCGCACCAGGTTTCCATAGCTCTTTCTCGCCAGCGACCTTCTTGTGTATGGCAAGGCTCTTGGTTTCGCGCCCTCTAGGAGTTGCTCGCTTGCCCTCAGATTCGTCGTCACTGGCGGTTTCATCGTGCTCGGATTCCGACGATGGATCCTTGTCGCTATGTTCCTCGTAGTCTGATGCTACAACGTCATCCTCGTCATCGTCGGGTGCGACGTCTGCCTTGGGTTTGTTCCCGTCGCTATCCGTGTCGCTCTCAGGCTCGACGTAAGACTTCCTTGCGGTAGCCCGTGCTCTCTTAGACTGCCGTGCTGGAACCTCCGGCGCAGGACGTTTAGAATTGCTCCTGGGAGCTGGAGCACTTGCGCTTTTAGTGGCTTTACGTGGCATGATCTCGAGTGATGCGACTTGGGAAAGTGATAGGCGTGATACTCAGTTGTCATTGCAGGTGCCTTCGTGGCTGCTTGGAAGATGACGCGCGCACAGACCATCGATGACGCACTCGAACGCGAAAATACAGCGCGCTGTCACGTTTCCACCCCAGCCAGGAAGCACGCCCGACTGACATGCCGACACGCTTCGAAGCTCGCAAGCAAAAGATCTTGGAGCAACTTGACGCTCCAGATGGCGAGTATCATGATCTGTCGCCAAAGGGGTCCGTCGATGCGCCCATCCGAGATTTAATCGGCGAGATCAACAATCTCCCAGGACTAGTCACCACTAGCAGCTGTTCGGGGCGCATCAGCGTGTTTTTGGAAGGACGCAAAGCAGACAATGAAGTACCAGATGCATTGCCTGAAGGCGAGAGTTCACGCGCTGGACCAGGAGGAAAAGGTGGTGGGGGTGCATGGCTGTTCATCTCACACACGCCACTTGGGCGAGACGAAGCAACATGTGACCTCATGTCAAAGTTCGGCTTAGACAAGGCTGAAGCAACGGAGGAAACACCTAGCGTGTCCAGCAGGTACATTCATCTTAAATTTGAACCTATGGTATCTTCAGTCGTCATGGCAGGTTGACATGGTCTGACGTGGCACAGATACTCCACGTCCTGAGTGCATCCATGGATCATGCCCAAGGTGTCCTCACTGCTGCCTTAGCTGCCGGGTTCCGTGAGAGTGGCGCCGTTAGTCTAGGTTCAGCGAAGACAGCAGAGTCAAACCCCATGGTGGCTGTCCGGTCAGCTGGTTATTCATTCGACTCCATCATTGGGTATCAAGATGGTGATGGCCGCAATGTTGCCTTGGTAGACGAGCGGTATTTACGAACACTAGTAAACATCGCAAACGAGCGATTCAACATCAACTTCGATCGAATAAGCCGGTTTCGCAAGGCCCTTTTGGAGACGTACGAACCGACTGCGACAAGTGGATCCAAGCCAGATTGGGAAGATGCGGACGCGAGGAAACGGCGGAAAAGAGAAGAAGGCCTTGCGCGGCAACAAGCTCTGCAAACCCAAGTCTCTCGAGGAGACAATAATTCATCAGCACTGGAGAACATAGACAGCATGGAAGGCATATTCTCTTGATGATACATGGCACAACACAGACATATGCGCATCGACGAGAATGCCTGTGTTGAACACAACGAAAGTTCTACTCTGTCATAGACGGCTATGAGTCATATTTTGTCTATCGCGACGGCGAATTTGAGTTCACGATGAGTGGTTGCTTTTCTATACTTTACGGAGCCAGACGACAATGTCTCCGACGACTAGTCTTCATAGCTCAGATGTAGAATGAGCAACGTTCGGCCGGTTGTGCATCCAACGACTCATAATATTAGCGTATGTGTACACAAAACTCTGGAGACGTAATTATTTCTTTGCATGCTATGATATCCGATAACATAGTGTCATATACTGCGTGTTTTCCAATCCATTTTGGTGATGCTCCACCAATAGAGGCTTAGCGTACATATGTCTCCGACGTAGATCGGCGACTTTGCTTCCATCTTCGCAACCATCTTCAACATACAAAAGGAACATTGAATCTTCCCCAATTTCCCAATTGCTGCCTCTCACATCTTCCAAACATTTTACATACCCATTGAGACTGTATCACCACTACCAAAACCACCAAACTACCCCTCACCATAGCCCCATCCAAGATGAGCTACGCAGAAGCCAACCGCCGGTACTTCGAGTATGCGACCCCTCCTCAAATCCAGAAATGTGGAACCATACTAAACGTATCACAGTGCCATATCCGACTCCTACGACAGCAAACCCTGGTTCAAAGTCGTCAACGACCGAGTCGCCACTACCCTCCGCTCTGACCTATCCTGGGTAGGCATACCCTTCACAGATTCCACCACTCAACCAGTCCGCCTTCTAGACTACGCATGCGGAACCGGCCTCATGACCCGCGTCTTCGGACCCTACGTCACCTCCACCCAAGGCATCGACATATCACCCAACATGGTCTCCACCTACAACACGCGCGCCCGCGACGCCGGAATTTCCGAAGATGTAGTCAATGCCGTTGTCGGCGACCTTTTCGACAAGTCTGATCCAAATCCTGAAGCTCTTTCCGGGGAGAGGTTTTGGGATTTCGACATCGCGACTGTAGGATTTGGATTCCATCATTTTGAGGATGTGGTGTTTGCGGCAAGGCAGTTGAAGGAGAGGTTGAGGCCGGGCGGTGTGTTGGTTATTAATGATTTTCTGGAGGGAGGTGATCTTTTGGCGGGGGAGGATGGGAGTATGATTGAGGGAAGCGAGGGGAATCATGCTGTTCATGGCCATGGACATCATCATGGTCATGGGGAGGAGAAAGGTTCTGGATCTCAAGGACATGGACATCACCACGGGCATCATCACCACCATGATGCTGAGAAGAAGCATGATGTTGGCGAGAGCAACCCTGAGTTTCGCCAGAAGATGAATGCTTCGATAGTGGTTCCGCACTTTACTATCGATGGCGTGAAGCAGTTCTTCGCGGAAGCTGGGTTCGTGGATGTGGATGTCATTACGATGAAAGAGAAGAACTACATGGAGTTCGGTGGCAAGAAGCTGTGGCGCACGATTCTGTTTGCCAGAGGGCGCAGACCGATGGAAGGACGAGATGGCTCGGGAAAGAGTGAACTATGAGCTTATCCAAGAAGGCGAAGCCCAGTAGTCACGGGCCAGCGATACAGTGTAGTTGACATCGTGAGCAAGATCAGCAATAGATAGATTGTATATATGGGATATCAGCAACCAACAAAATATAACACCCAACACCAGACCAATTGCCCCTCTATCCAAGAAAATACAAGCTCACCACTTCCCCTCCAGCGGCAGATCTCGGCTTGAGAAACCCACACTAATACCGAATTCGCCATTAGGCAACACCCAATTCTGCCTCTTGACATCCCAATAGCTCAAATCCCTTCTCGTGACATCAAACTGCACCAGCTTGCCTGCATTCTTCTCAAGGTGGATCTTCTCAAAGCCGCGCAACACACGAACGGGGAAGTCGACGGGCTCACCCGTCTCGTGGTCCTTGTAGTTTTGTGGGAAAGAAATGTAGAGCTGCACTACTGATGCGCCGTCGACGGGTCCGGCGTTTTCTAGTGACGCCGATACAGTCAGGAGCGTGGTGTAGAGATCGGGGTTGCCACCTGGACCACCGCCTGCTTGGCTAAGAGGAGATGGAGGAGCGGGAGGAGCGGGGTCGGATTTCTTGATACCCTTTACGGAATCTAGCCATGGGTAGATGAACCGTTCGACCTGGTTGAAGCCCTCAGGGAACAACACAGATTTGGGATCTGGTAGATCGGTAGAATAGCTTGGTGGAGTCAGGCCGTCAGGTCGAGGCTTGGGAAGAGGTGTTTTAGCGCCCTTTTCTTCGATGAGGAGAGAGGACAGCTTGAAGTCGGTGTACGAAAGACCGTAGCCAAACTCGAATCGTGGGGCGATGTTCTTCTTGTCGAAGTGACGGTAGTCTATGTAGAGACCTTCGGAGAAGTCCTGCTGAGGCGCCAGACCATCCTTTGGGGTGGGAAGATACTTGATTTTGCTGCCTGGGCCGTAGTCGTCTTCCTTCTTGGCGATTGTGTAAGGTAGACGTCCAGATGGGTTGACGTCACCGAAAAGTACGTCTACGATGGCGTTACCAGATTCGGTACCGGGAAGATTGGCGATAATGACGGCTCTGACATTCATGATGTCGATGAACTTCTCCAGGATTACAGGTCCAACAGTGTGGATGACAACCACGACATCGCCCATGCCTTCTCCGCAATCTTTAGCAACATCCTGAATCAGTTTATCGCCGCCCTTTTGCAGGTTAAGGTCATTCCTGTCACCACGAATGCCTTCATAGTGCTGGTAGCCCTCTCCGGCGTCGGCGTTAGCGAAGACAATGCAGAGGTCCTGATCGACGAGAATCTCCTTCTGGCTAGGCAGCTTGTTTTCTAGCCAATCGGTGACGTAAACAGTCTCGTTGTCGAACGCGTCTCGAATAGCGGACATGGGCTCCACTAGATACGAGAAGTTGACCGCGCCAGAGCCCCATCCTGAGGCTAATGTACCTTCGTTGCAGCTCTGATCTGGACAGTGGTTGATTCCCTCATGAGGGAGACGTGCATCTTCACCAAAGACACCAACACGGAACTTTGTCTTGGCCTTGCCGCCAGTCTTCCATCCCTTTCGGTCCAGAGGCAGCATCTTGCCCTCGTTCTTCACCAAGACGGTACCTTCGGCAGCGACGCGACGGACTAGGTGTCCATGGGCTTCTTTCCCTTCTCCTTGCGCGTTGACGTACTGGTTTACAATGCCTGTTTCGTGGTCCGATGGACTGCCCTCGTGAAGCTTGCCGACCCGGTCGTTGGTCCACGAAGAGAAGTTTGGTCCGTCATTTTCCCACTTGTCCTGGCCAACCTGATACCAAGATGCCACAATACGAGTAACCATGTCGTCGACACGATCGATTGGCACGCTGCCATTGAGAACCGCACGGGTAAGCTCAGGGCCCCATAAGCTGTTGCCCTTGGCCCATCTCAAGCCATCTCCCGGCATGGTCATATCCAAGCCCGCAAGAGCACTAGCCACACCTGAACGCTGTGCTAGCCAGTCACTCTGAATGAAGCCCTGGAAACCCAGCTCATCCTTCAGGACGCCGTTGAGGAGCTTGGAGTTTTGGCAGGCATAACTGGAATTGACCTGGTTGTACGAGCACATAACGCTGGTCACTCCAGCTTTGACGGAGTCGGCAAAGGGCCATGCGTAGATCTCATGTAGTGTGCGGTCGTCGATGTTGCTCGATATCGCGTTTGGAAGGCCCCACTCCCATGCTTGTCTGAAGTGCTCTTGTTCGTTGGCGACATAATGCTTTGCGGTAGCCATGACGCCCTCGTCCTGGATGCCCTTGATGGTTTGGGCCGCTGCGATGCCTTGTAGAACGGGATCCGAACCGAAACCCTCCCAGACGCGACCACCAGCTGGCATTCTCCCGAGAGGACCCATGGCAGGACCCAGCAGGACGTTGACGCCCTTGAGGCGTGCTTCTTGGCCGTGGGCCTTTCCGCGTAGGTACATGAGTTCCTTGGACCAGGTCGCGCCGGTGGTGATACCGGCAGGGAATGCGGTGATGTTGTCGGCGAATCGAATACCCAGTGGGCCGTCCTGAACACATTAGTATAGTCCTAGAGACATGCGGGGTGTACGTACCTGTAGACACAAGCTGGGGAACTTCAGCCTGTCTACGCGCCCAGTCTGGCCGACGCAGAGATCCATGCTCCAGCCTGTGCCTGTTGTGATGTTGACCTTCTCAGGCAACGTCATCTGCTTGACCAGGTCCGCAGCCCTCTTATAGCTGTCCTCCCATGCCTGGTCGGTGCCACCCTTTGGCGAGGGGTACCACGGCGGACTCAGCCCATCCTCAGGCACCGAGACCTTGTATGCCCATATGCCACCCGAGGCGAGTATCAGTACGGTCGCGGCGACGAAGACTAGCAGCCAGCAGCAGCACCGTCCTGGCGCACACCGCGACTTCCTTTGCTGTATGGGGAATGGCGCCGCGTCCTCGGTGTCTCTGTAGGACGCCTTCCGGACCTTGAGATCGCCGGCGCTCTTCTTGCGCCTGATCTTGCTGTCGAATGCGAGTGGGTCGTGTTCTTCGAGATCTTCCAGCGTGCCGTTGGATTCGGAGGAGAAGCGCGTCGGGGTCTCGACATCGTCGTCGACGGGGTTGTCGAGCTTGGCGTACTTGCCACGGCGCATTTCGTGGGCTTCGTAGGGCGGCATCTTGGTCGGCGCCGGGGCCTGCTTTAAAGGAAGAAATGGGCGGTGTTGTGTCGTTCGCGGCTCAAACGGCTAGGCTATCGATGACGGCGCGAGCGTTGAGCTCTATGATGTTGAGGCTAGCATTGAATGCGATAGTCCGGCAATCACGAGGGAGTGATGGATCGAGTAAAGAGGATGCTTAGAGTGTTTCTGTAGGACAGAAGACACGGCGTGCACAGCGAGCGTCGTGGTTCAAGGCGAATGTTTCACCGGGCTGGCTTGCGCGCGATGGCGTCTCGTCCCTGACTAGGTGCCGATCTCGTGGGTCGACTCCCGCCCGCGCTTGCGTCCAGGCGGGCCTTCTGATTGCGCATCATCCACCCTTCACCGAACCACGCTGACATTGTTTGCATACGTGTTTGAATTCATGGCTACATTTCCCAACCATCGGGTTCGTCATTCTAACTTCACATCTTCTCCAACAAGCCTATGACCTTCGACGCCTATGCGCCGACCTGGTCCAGTATGCCCTGCAGGTTGATCGACTTGGGCCGCTCGATGGGAAGACCCAGTGCCCTGTCCCAAATCAGCTGTGCGAGCGGGCCCAGACCACGGCTGACACCGAAGGTCGCTGTGTAGTAGAGCGTCTCCTTGAAGCCGAAGTGGTGGAAGAGAACACCGGACGACGAGTCAACGTTCGGGAAGGGGTTCTTGGTCTACGTAACAAGTCAGCAATGATCTGAGTTGATCAGGACATTCCATCTCACCTTTCCGTGCTCCTTGAGGACATCCGGCGCAACCTCAGAGTTCTTCTTAACCAGCTGGTAAACAGGGTCTGCCGCAATCTCGGGTCGTGCGTTGGCAAAGTCCATGAGTGCTTCGAATCGCGGGTCGGGCTTCCTGAGCACGGCGTGTCCGTAACCAGGAATAACACGCCCAGACTTGAGAACGCTCCAGAGGAACTCATTTACATCCTTCTCGGTGAATTTCTCACCAACGACCTTCTGCATGTCGAGGATGAAACGCAGCACCTCTTGCGCAGCCAAACCGTGCAGGGGTCCGGCGAGGCCTTGAAGACCAGCACTATAGCTCAGGAAAGGATCGCTGAGCGCAGATCCGACCAAGTGTGTTGCGTGCGCCGAGACGTTACCACCCTCGTGGTCACCATGCAGAGCAAGGTACAACCGGAGAAGGTCTTGGAAGCCCTCGTTCTCCTTGCCTGGCTTGCCCAACATGGCAGCAAAGTTGTACGACCAATCTTGGTTCAGGTCAATCTCGTTCGGGAGAGCGCCTCCGCCACGGTATGCGTTCTGGTAGATTTTCGCGGCGATGGTAGGCAGTTTGGCGAGCAGGCTGATGCAGTCGTCGAAGGTAGGCTCCCAGTAATCGGCCTTGTTGATACCCTTCTCGTAGGCTTTCGCGAACTTGGACTCGTAGTTTAGTGCTGAGACGGCGCATGCGAACTGTGTCATCGGGTGGAGATCTTTGGGGAAGTCGTCCAGCATCTTCTGAACGAACTTGGGGATCTGGCCCTTTTCGGCGAGCTCCCGCGAGAGTGCGCGAGTTTGTGATACTGATGGCACTTCGCCTGTGAGGAGCAACCAGAACATGGCCTCAGGAAGCATCTCGGTGCCGGAAGTACCCTTGGGCAGCTCCTTTTGGCAGTCTTTGATGGTCTTGCCGTGGAATCGAATGCCCTCATTCGCATCAAGAACCGAGCCTTCCCAAACCATGGCCTTGAGACCCCTTCAGTCATGTTAGAGCGCGCCTCTAGATATGATTGGGGTTCATACCTCATGCCACCGAGCGCATTCTCAACCTTGACATCGCCGAGCTTCTTGTCGGCGTGTGCCTTGACCTTCTTCAGGAGCTCGCGCTTCGCAGGCAGAACCTTTTTGAACGTCTCCTTGAGATTTGGCTCAGAGGAGGAAGAGTAGCTACATGCTTGCACTGCAGCGATCAACGCGTTAGGACGATGACGATTGAAGTGGGTGACCCAATGGCGTACCAGAAACAAAAGGACGCGCCTGTAAAGCGTTTGTCAGCTCTCAATGTCTTGTATATGCCGTCGCATAACTTTTGAAGCTCACCTTGGCGGCCCGTAGAGCTCGGGAAGCTGATCGTGCACTCAATGCCATAGCTAGCTTTACGTGGGGTAGATGCGGGGGATGGGAGTATCACTCTTCAACACACGGAATGCAGAACACAAGAACACGAGGATAGCGTTACAAACTTCACGAGCAACTAGCAGAGAAATGTTGACGGCAACTCTCGGTAATGCAGCTGCGATGCGCCAGGCACGCGTGGTCCGTTGATGCGAGTGCAGCGTCGAATGATGGACCGAGGGGCAGCTGGACGGCTAGACGTGGGCTACATACCTCGGTAGTGACGTCGGCCACGCGCATCCCTGGAGAAACGTTACCGCAAACACGACGCCGGACGCACTTTTTCATGCGACCCATCGCTATCTGCCTGCGCGAAGAAGAATTGGGTCAGAATTGAAAAAGGCGTTTGTGGCAAACATCGTCATCTGATACCCTCCGACGTACGGATACTTTTCCGTGCCTGATTACCAACTGACTCCACGCCGCCAGCCTACTAAGGTATACAGAGAGATTCTGCTGGCTGGAGTCTCATCCACACATACACCTCCACGATGCTACGCACAGTATCGCGCTCCATCGCGCGCCAGAGCCGACCATCGAGGATAGCGAGCCGAACACCACAACTCCTACGCCCACTCTCTACTACGGCAATTCGCATGTCAAGCTCGGCACTCAAGAGTGTAGACCCTCCCGTATCGTCGGCGCTCCCTGGCGATTCCTTCCAGCTGCTCCCCGAGGCTTCGAAAGCGGGCCAGGCGGAGGATGCGCTCTTCGAGGAGCAGGTACAAGCCGTCAGGGACTGGTGGGCGTCACCGCGGTACAAGGGCATCAAGCGCCCCTACTCTGCGGAGGATGTTGTGAGCAAGCGAGGGGCGCTCCAGCAGTCATATCCCAGCTCCTTAATGGCACGGAAGCTATTCAACCTTCTTGAAGAGAGGGCAGCCAAGGGCGAGCCGGTACACACCAGTGCGTTTATCCTAGCCTGCATAGATAGTACAATGGCTGATGATGTGTTTTCAAACTCCAGTGGGCGCAATTGACCCCATCCAAATGTCCCAACAAGCTGCGAACCAAGAAGTCCTCTACGTTTCCGGATGGGCGTGCTCCTCCGTCTTGACCTCCACGAACGAAGTCTCCGCCGATTTTGGCGACTACCCATATAATACCGTACCAAACCAAGTGCAGCGGCTGTTCAAGGCTCAGCAATTACACGACCGCAAGAACTGGGATGCAAGGAGGAAGATGAGTGCAGAGGAGAGGGCAAAGACACCTTACCTGGACTACATGAGGCCAATCATTGCTGATGGTGACACTGGGTACGTTTAGACGACCCGCAAGGAACGTTACCAGGCAGCTAACGTGTAACAGTCACGGAGGTCTCTCTGCAGTCATTAAGTTGGCGAAGCTGTTCGCTGAGAACGGAGCCGCAGGTGTTCATTTCGAAGATCAACTCCACGGGGGAAAGAAATGCGGACATCTTGCAGGCAAGGTGCTCGTACCGGTCGGCGACCACATCAACCGCCTGGTAGCCGCACGATTCCAATGGGATATGATGGGCTGTGAGAACCTTGTCATTGCGCGCACTGATTCGGAGAGCGGCAAGCTCATCTCCAGTGCGGTCGATGTGCGAGATCACGAATTCATCAAGGGCGTCACGGAAGACTCCGAGCCCCTGGCTGAAACACTGCAGAACATGGAGGCAGCTGGCGCACCAGGTAAGGAAATCGACCAATACGAGGCTGCGTGGGTGAAGAAACACAAGCTCGTAACCTTCGACGAGGCCGTGGTTCAGCACCTCGAGAAAGAGAGTGCATCTCAATCAACCATCGATTCATACCTCAACGAGACGAAGCAGAACCCGGACTTCTCTCTTCTCAAGCGCCGAAAAGTCGCAGAGAAGTACACTAAAACGCCCGTGTATTTCAACTGGGATATCCCTCGTACACGTGAGGGTTTCTACCACTACAAAGCCGGCGTCGCTGCCGCGACCAAGCGCGGTAAAGAATACGCTCCGTACGCAGATCTTCTCTGGGTCGAGACCGGCGATCCGAATGTGCAAGAGGCAGCCAGGTTCGCCGGCGAGATTCGCGCGGTTCACCCCGACAAGAAGTTCGTGTACAACCTCTCCCCCAGCTTCAACTGGATGGGCCAAGGCTTCTCCGAAGAAGCGCTCAAGTCATTTGTATGGGATCTGGCGAAACACGGATTCGTCTTCCAGCTTATCTCGCTTGCCGGAGTACACTCCACTGCCACAATTACCTGCGAATTAAGTAGGGCGTTCAAGGATGAGGGTATGCTTGCGTACGTCAAGCTGGTACAAGCAAGGGAGAAGGAGCTGGGTTGCGATGTGCTCACACACCAGAAATGGTCTGGCGCAGGCTACATTGATGGCATTTTGGGAGCGATCCAGAGTGGCAGCTCGGGCAGCAAGAGTATGGGCGAGGGAAACACCGAGACGGGTTTCTAGAAATGTAAACATAAGATAGCAGAGCAAGAGGTCATTCGAGTGTTCAAAAGATGCAGATGCTCGATGCGTGACTAAAGAGGAAAGGCGGGATCTGGGGCTCTTGCCTCGGTCCAGCCATCTTTCCCGGGCGACCCATCATCACGCTCAACACCGCCCCTGCGCTCATCTCGCGTCCACAACATCTCATACCACTTCAAAGCGCTCTTACAATTTATATAACATGGCCAATAAGCCTGCGATACCCGAATGGCAACGTGCCTCCGCCGATAACGCTGCAGCGTCGACCGAGCCCGAAGAAGCGCGCGCGCAACACGCTGTCGAAGCCCCGACACCAACCGAAGACGACGTTGAGAGAGATGATAAGGAAGAGCAACCATCAGAAAGCCCAGAACTACTAGATCAGGCGTCGCGCTTCCTCGAGGACGATACAATCCGCGATGCGCCGCGAG